ATTTTTTTTAAAATACATGTCAACACTAGAAATAATTTTTTGCAATTTAATTTTTTTTTATCAGAGTCCATAAGACATAAACTTTTAAAAAATTACGTTATATTTTTTAAAATATCCATAATTTCTCGAAAAATTGATCAAATTATACTTTTTTCGCCTTGTAAAACAACAAACATTTCATATGCTTAGCAGATATCAATAATTTTTTGGTTATTAAAAATTGATTAAAAAGATATGATATCAAAAAAATAACGTATGTGACTATGTTTGGAATCTGTTAAATTAGTCTTAAAAAAAATTCCAAAAAAAAACAAAAATCCCATGTTGCTATCAAGTAATGATGTTATTATTTTTGATTATTATGATAAGTTTTGTGGTATTGGTATAATCTTGGAGTAATACTAAGAAAACCCATACGCTGCAACTAAATATAAAAATTTACCAAAAAAACATGTTTTCAAAGCGATTAAAGCGTGTTTGTGGCAGTAACAATCCCTGTAAACCTTCAGCTCAGCTGCGATTATTGCCTAATGGACCGGGCAGTCGCTGAAAAAGCTTTCAAAAATAGAAAGAGTAACAACCTGCACTTGACAATAATAACTCAAGGATCCCGCGAATAGATAAACCTCGATCGTAAGTAAGTATCGCTTTACAAAGCATCCGCATGTCAATAGACAGGCCGTAAAATTTCAAAAAAAAAACGTGAAACACCCCACCAAGTTGTCAATTAATTCGCGGTCGCACTCTGCCCGAGGAAGTTATTTATGTTTCTCCTATTTGTACAGACGATAAAGAATGAAGCGACAGTCTGCTTAAAATACTCGATTCGGCTTTGATCTCGACGTTTTGACTTATGCAGATTCGAGGGTTCGAATGAACGATTAAAAGGGGTCGACGATGATGTGGACTTGAAACAGACTTTTTGGGTGCATGTGTTGGATATTAAAAGAGGTAGCTGGAAATAGCATAGCATAGGTGTCGAAGACGTATTATCATATTTTCGGGGTTATGTATGGAGAAAGGAGTGTCAACACGTGTTACGTGGATGAATTTTATTGCCCGACACGTGTCGAGGGAGATTAGGGGGTTGGATAACTGAAAGGAAGTGTTAGTCGACTGTGATAAAAACCATTTCTCACTTTTGTGACTAGAGGGATGGGTTAGTCGGATTAATTTTGTGTCAAACATTCTTGGAAAAAACAGATAAATGTTTTGCTTTGTGTTTTAAAATATTACAAAATATATTCCAAAAGTCAAAAAAAACTTATTTAGTTTGTTTCGTCAATGCCTATTTTTAGCTAGGCCTTAAAATTTTAAAATTTAACACGGTTAGTATACATTATGTACCTATATGTATCAGAGAGTATTTTAGTAGTTTTTTTTATTATACAGGGTGTTTACAGTCTTCGAGTTGAAAATTGACCTAGTAATAGAAGAGTACAGAAATACTTTAACCGAGAAAAAAAACTCACACAATTGTTATTATCAAGAATGTTATTTAACTCCAAAATATTGGTACATGGTTTGAGGGTCACTGGAATTATTTCCTTGTTCAGATAAGATTGTATTGTTGCAACAGATAAAAAAATCGTATCTATGAAAATGAAAGAGAAAAGTCACTTCATCGTTTTGACACTGTCTTCATTTGATTTGCTTTTGCTTTAGTTTTTATCAAAATTCGAAGATCTTCTGTTTAATCTCTTTCAGCGAATGGTTTCCAAAAGGTTTGATTCGTTTTTCTTAATTTTTCTCCAAATTTATGAACATGCATGGCAAAATATTAAAATAATAAATTGGTTGTCGTGTTTATGATTTACGGTGAAACACAAGGTAATGATACTAATGGCCATTGTTGCAGCCGAAGCAGCAGTTCTCAAACAAATAGTGTAAAATGAATAATTTCCTTTAACAACGTGAATTTTTGTTTTATATAGCGTATTAGTTTTTTTCTAACGTAAATATCCTCTCATTTAAATTTCAACCTCAAGACCGTAAACGCCCTGTATAATGTTTAAATTTTGATATATTTTTTTATTGTAATACTATAACGTTATTTTAGTTTAACAGAATCACAAATCAGAAAAGAAAAGTTGTTTATAACGGTCACCGGCCGCCGGCCGTCATTATAACGGCCTCTGTTTAGTTTAAATTCTGATAGCTGTGTTAGTAGAAATTTTCCAAATATTTATCTTTTGTATTGTTAAAAAAAACTCTTAACTGCCACACAATCAATATACTTAGCTGCTTCGATTTACAAATTTCAACTGCGCCTGTTATTTTGTTTTATATCGTCCTAATGACGGTAAATATTGTGTGACTAAAATTTTTAGGTTACATAGGTCAGGTCGAATCAAAGAGTATTTTGTAGTCTTTTAATTTTTAATGGCTTAAAATGTAAGAATTTTATTTTATTTAATCTAAATACCATAACGTTATTATGGTTTAACATAACTAAAAAGGCGGTTTATAACGGCCACCCGCCAGTTCAAGTTCAAATTCTGCAAGGGTTAGTATTAGTTTTTCGAATGCGTAACTTCAATGTAATTATGAAAAATCTTACGGTAAATTGTTAGATTCTGTAATTGTTTAAAGATTTTATTTTTATGAAAATCAGCCACAAACAAAAGAAATGCTTTTAGGAACAAATTTAAATGAGTTAATTTGTATTTAAGACAATTTGGGACAATTATTGTGTTAAAAATCAGTTGTGAATTTAATTTAATTGAGACAGACATCAAATTATGCCTAATTAAATTCGTTTGCGGAAGTTTCCACTTAAAATATTATGCGGTTGCCTAACTTCATAGCACTAGTTCATTAAAATATTATAGACATCACTAGTATTTTGGACTATTGGACTAACAGAAACTTATTGGCATAAGTAAAAAATTCATAATTCAATTAAAAAAGTTATACATACTTATTGTTGACTCAAACATTTAATTTTGCGTTTAAAAGTAATAAACAATTAAATTAAATTTTATTGAGAAATATACGTCATTAAAGAAAAATTGAATCTTACACATCAAAACATAAAATTATAAATTTAGTTTTCATCTGTTCACATGTCTTGCCAATAATTCCTTCACGTTACAATTTATATTATGAAATACGCTGATTTGAATTAAACTGGTGCCAATTTAACTATTTTTGTAACTACAGCTTTGCACTAGTCTTTTATTTCATTAATTTATAGTATACCCCCACGTACTATATTTTATTTAAATGAAAATATGTATTTTTTACTAAAAATTTTCTATACAAAATAACATAATTTGTTTGTTTTAAAATGTCGCTCTTTTTTTAGAAAAAACCATTAACATCACCATCCAACAATTTTGATTTTAATTTTTAAGGAAAGTTTTTATTCTCGTATGTTTTTTTAGCATATTATTGAATTAAAAATAGATTATTAACAAAAGTGTTACATTGTTAATAACATTTTATACCATTATAATATGAAAAAAATAAATAGCATTTTCTGTATAAAATAATGCATAATGCAACTTTTAGGCACATGTTGTTTTCCTACTTCCATAAATTTATAAATCAAGTTTGAAGGCCTTTTGTGCATTTCTTGGTGTAAATTCCGTGACCTTGACTAGGACTAAATGTAACTTTTTTTTCTAACTCTTGCGTTTGTTTTTGCGGTATTTGAACTTTGAAAGGTTGAAAATAGTTGCATTTTGTTATATCGAGTAGACAAATCTACTTGATGCCTGCTGTATTTGTAATTCTAAAAGTTTTGAAAACTGCCTTAAAAAAAATTTAATGTTTTTGGCATTTTCCACGAAAACATGTGTTCCCACCCAAACGATTCAAATTTGTTTCGCACAAAATTCAACAACTCAAGCGCAAACATGTTACTTAGTTTATTTTGCGCCAACATCAACATCGAAACCGAAAAATTTGCACACATTAGCCAGTGTTTCTGAAACCAATCACATAATAGACTTACGTAGTTTCTGTAGGCGCTCATAATTTGAAAATAGCTCACCACCTCACTTCATATTAATTAGTCACAGTTTTTCGAAAGACCGGTCAAGTTTACATTGCGTTTACTTGAAAATGTTTGAACGAAAACGCGACGCACAAATAAACCAAAGATCATTCAACACACACTAAACCGAAACGGTTAAACTAATTGAAAAAACTAGCGCGGCCCAAATAGAATTTATTAAAACCTTCTCGCGCTATTCTAACCACTAACTTGAGCGGATTTCGGCGCCGAGCGTCTTCGGCGTCGTCGCGGCTTTAGGCGAGATGGAGCGAGAAAAGCCGAAAGGACTATTTAAAGAACGACTGGTTTGTACTGTAATTTGATTGAGGATAACAATTGTTGCGATGTTTGGAAGAAAATCATAATAAAGGAAAAAACACCATAGATTTAACTTTTTTTACAAATAAATAAAATAATATGTATTGGTGAAATTAATCTAAAATTTTCTGAGCACTCTTTATTTTTCCAATGTTTGCCTGGGTCTAATGACCGTGGCGGAGAAATATAGCGTCGGGTGTGTTTTATTGAAGCAAATAACTGTTTAAAATGCTACAAGTGTCGTCAAGTTGCAGAACATTTATTATATTTTTAACTCAGTGTCATGTCTGGTCATAATTTCGTTTATTAGTTTCTAAATTGTCAAAGATATAAATATACTGTGTTTTTTGCAGTTATTAAGAATTTTTGGCAAAAGAAAATGAAAATTTGAGAAATATATAAATCAATTTAATGTAACCTTTTTTAAAAATCGCATAGTAGAAAAAATATTGTATT